CAGTGGCTCTTGGGATTTGAATAAAGAGGCTATTTCTAAGCTGGGGGACAAGCTGGCCAAAACCAACCAGGGAAAGCAGCTAAGGAAAGCATCTGGGTATCCCAGCCCAGTGAGAGAGTGGGAGCCCCGGACAGGACTTACAGGGAAGGGCACAGCCACTGCCACACTTGGGACTGTCGTTAAGAACAAATAGTTCCTCTTCAGGGGTTTTGGTTTCTGGTTCTTTGCTCTATCTAAAAACTAAGCTTACCCGTTCATTTATCAGCCCTCCCTATCTCTGCTGTGACCAAACACACCCAAGCATCTCCCACCACCTATGTATCCGTCCTTCCAACCCGGCAAAAGCCAACCCTCGCCTCCTTTGATGAAGTCAACAATAGCCAATCAGAATTAGCCTAGATTGTGCCATCTGACCACAGCCCACGGGGGAGGACACAGGAACAGGGTCGTCATTCGGATCCTGCCCTCCCTTCTTCTCAGCCCTCTCCCTTGCCTCTGCCTTGCCTGCAGGAGGCGCCCTTCCATAGAAGTAAATTGCCTTGCTGAGAAAACTTCTGCTTGAGTGTCGGTTCCACTTTGCGGCACTGAGCATTTTACTTTTAACATGATCAAGAGAAGAAGAGAGCAGGGAAATGTGCCCTGACATCTGACCTCCTGCCATCCCACCCTCTGGCTGAACCCAACTAGAGATGAGGAAACTGAGTCACAAAGTGCCCAAAGTCACCCCATGGGGGAGTCAGGATTCAAATCCAGGCCATCTGGCCCCAGAGTCCATAAAGAAAAACATAAGGTTTGTTTATGCCTTTGGCAATTATTTATTATTTGCCACTCAGTGATCTAGATACCACGGATTCCAAATTCTGGGTCTTGTAAAACCTTTCCAGTAACACTCTTGTAGTCAGCATGTTACCGGCAGCAAGACCGTAGCACTCCCAGCCCGTGTTCTCAGAGGAAAGAATTCAGCGGAGAGGCAGAGGCAAAGGTTTATTGAAAGAAGCAAAGTACAGCTGAGAGACCAAGTGCCCCGCTCAGCCTTGGGCTCGGCGTTTTTATAGACTGGCTTGGTTCTGGGGTTTCTCCTCCTGCTTGATTCCTCCCTCGGGCAGGCTATTGCTCTATTCCTGCAGGCGCAATGGCGAGCACTTGGGAGGCGCCGCATGCCCCGTGTGCTTAACTGAGGTTGTGCGCATGCTCACTTGGGGCGATTTTCCCTTACTGGTCCGGAGCCCCAGCAGAAATGTCGTTTACAGGTCAAACGCCACCATTCGCCCCAACTGTGCATGCTTAATTAAGAGCTTAACAGGGAAGCACGGGTTGCTGGCTCTAGATGACGTCTACTATCTGCTAGGGACCTCCTCTCCCTCCTGGCACCGTTCAGTGGCCGCTTACCATGTCACAGGGACAGTTTTATGATCGCCTGTCCATCATTCAGTGCACTGCCATTTCTGTGGGCCCTCTCCTGCTCAAGAACACAATAAACATCCTTGTTTTAAAAAGTGCCCTATTTCACTGCAATAGGACTGGGTGGTGGCCAGGTGGCAGCAGCTGTGGCTTTTGTGGAATCGGATGGACAGCCTGGTAGGAGAAAAGGCCCAGGGGTTCTACCCAGCACTGGGGTCACGCTGCTCCCTGAGGCTTCTGCTGGGTCCTGGGTCATCAGCAGAGCCCTTAGCTAGGAGTGGGCACCTGTAGGGGTGGAGGGTGGTCGTGGGCCACGAGGCAGCTCTAAGGTCCAAAGGTTGCTGCAGTGGGAAATTCCCACCCCTGCAATTGGTCCCCAGCCAGGAACATCCTTAAACTGGTGTCAGAGGAAGAGTGGCATTCATGTCCCCATAAGCTCCCCATGCTCCAGAACATCTCCTTCTACCCTCCTCCCCTCCTGGGCAGGTGGAGGTCCAGGAAGCAAAGGCCCCTAGGCACGCTAGGGATGCTCCTGTGAGCCCTTTCCTGCTCTGAAGCCTCCCGAGGCCAGTTCCTTACCCTGAGGCCCCTGCTCAACTTGTTGCCTGCCAGGAGATGCCTGCCCCGACCAGTATTTTGGAATGGCATCCCACAGGCCTGGACTTAAATTCCTGCTGGGTGACTGCAGCCTACATCACTTCACCCCGCCAAATCTCAGTTTCCTCATCTCAAGACAAGACGAAAATATCCACCTGGAATTGCTGACGCAGGGATGAGGGGGACGTGCAGCTTAACCAGCACAGTGCCTGCATATAGTAGGTGCTCAGTAAATATCAGTTTATTTCCAGTTCCTGCTGGGTGCAACAAGGTTCTCAGGAAATGGAAGACTCAGCCCGGCCTGCAAGGAGCAGTCAGATGGGTGGGGTGGGGACTGGGGGGAGGGAAAGAGGAGGACCCCAAACAAACAGCCCCAGTGACAGGAGCAATGAGGTACAGAGGAGCAGAGAGGCCCGGACTGTGGGGTTCCCTGTGCTTCACGTGGGACGTTCTGATCTTAACCTCAGTGCCTGCCAATGCTGTTTGTGACCTATTGGGAGTCACCCAGTTAATCCCACCACATTCAATTGGCTGGGAGCATCACAAAGACCTGCTCAGTTTCAAGGGAAGGGGACAGAAACTCTACCTTTTGATGGAAGGAGTATCAAAGAATCTGTGGGTATATTTTCTTTTTCTTTTTCTTTTTAAGACGGATTCTTGCTCTGTCACCAGGCTGAAGTGTAATGGCACGATCTCGGCTCACTGCAACCTCCACCTCCCAGGTTCAAGTGATACTTCTGCCTTAGCCTTCCAAGTACTTGGGATTACAGGCACATGCCACCATGCCCAGCTAATTTTTTTTGTATTTTTAGTAGAGACGGGGTTTCACCATGTTGGCCAGGATGGTCTCAATCTCCTAACCTTGTGATCCACCTGCCTCGGCCTCCCAAAATGCTGGGATAACAGGCATGAGCCCCTGCGCCCAGCCCTCATGGGCAGATTTTTAAAGGACCACAATTACAAAAAAAGCAGGGTGGTTAATGTTACGGTGGTGAAAGCACAAGGGCTTCTGGGACCTCAGAGGAGACCCTTTCTAGAATCCAGAGAAGCATGGGAGTGGTCAGGGAAGGCTTCCTGGGGGTGAGGGCAGAGCAGAACTCACAAATGTAAGCATTACTGGGGCAAAACTCTAAAAATTAAGCACAGTCCCTACTATAAATGTTGCTTTCCAAAACAAAATTTTACTATCTTTACTTACGGCAAATACATGCCTAGGACCATGACCCAAAGAATATAAAAATTTTAGAGGCTGGGCCTGGTGGCCCAAGTCTGTAATCCCAGTACTTTGGAAGCCCAAAGCAGGAGGCTCACTTGAGCTCAAGAGTTCAACACTAGCCTGGGCAACATAGCAAGACTAAATACAAAATACTAAAATACAAAAAATTAGCTGAATGTGGTGGCTCACACCTGTAGTTCCAGCTACTTAGGGGGCTGTGGTGGCAGGTTCACTTGAGCCCAGGAGGTCAAGGTTGCAGCGAACAATGATCGTGCCACTGCACTCCTGCCTGAGTGAGAGTAGACTTTGTCTCAAACAATAAATAAATAAATAAATAAAAATAAAGGTAGGCAAGGTGGCTCATGACTGTAATCGCAGCACTTTGGGAGGCTGAGGTGGGTAGATCACAAGGTCAGGAGTTCAAGACCAGCCTGGCCAACATGGTGAAACGCTGTCTCTACTAAAAACACAAAAATTAGCTAGGCATGGTGGTGCCTTCCTGTAATCCCAGTTACTCTGGAGGCTGAGGCAGGAGAATAGCTTGAATTAGGACCTGGGAGGCAGAGGTTGCGGTGAGCAGAGATCGCACCCCTGCACTCCAGCCTGGGCAACAGAGCAAGACTCTATCTCAAAAAAACAAAGAAAGAAAGAAAGAAAGAAAAAAATTTACATATCAACAAGCAAAAACTTTTTTTTTAACACTTATAATTCTATCCACCAACCAGAGACAATGGCTCAGAACTCCTTGCTAAGTATTTCCCAGACTGTTGAATATGGAAGCCTGTTTTGAAACCCCCAAAATAGAACCTTATTCTCTGGTGCCGCTGGAGACTGAAGCCTCATGACACCTCTTTCCTTGCCAAGAAATACCTTTTATTTCTGCAGCCTCACTTTAAAGAGCGTGTCGTAATTCATTTAACCAACGCCCTTCTGTAGGATACATGAGGTTGGGTCTCACTTCTGTCCTGTTTCACACAGCATAGCGATGGTGTCTTAGAGCCGTGATTTGCTGGCACACTAACTTAACTGTGTACTCAGGGGAAGTCCCTGAAATTGAATTGCTGGGTCACAGGGCATGCAGCTGTTTAAACATTTACCAGTTGCCTTCCAGAAAATATTACCACTAGCAAGGTTTGAGAGAGGCTGTTTTCCCATGGGGAAAAACATTTATTTATTTATTTATTTTGGAGCCGGAATCTCCCTCTGTCACCCAAGCTGGAGTGCAGTGGTGCAATCTTGGCTTACCGCAACTTCTACCTCCTGGGTTCAGGTGATTCTCCTGCCTCAGCCTCCTGAGTAGCTGGGACCATAGGCGCCCGCTGCCATGCTAATGTTTTGTGTTTTAGTAGAGACGGGGTTCCACCACATTGGCCAGGCTGGTCTCAAGCTCCTAAGCTCAGGCAATCCGGCTGCCTCGGCCTCCCAAATTTCTAGGATTACAGGCGTGAGCCACTGCACTGACTGGGAAACATTTATTTTTTAAATAAACAGAGCAGGTATGTTTTTAAAAAAGAGCGATTGGAGGGGGCCAGACGTGGCTTCATTCTTGACCCTGCCATCTGCTGGGTGTGAGATCTTGAGGAAGCCTCAGTTTCCTCATCTGCAAAACCAGGCCTTCTTAGCTGAGCTTTTAAGAGACCGGCTGAGATGAGGCAAGATGAATGGTGATGAATGTGGGGTCCTTCTGCGGCGAGGGTGGGTAGGGATGATCACAGGGGCCAGGCTCCCTCATCCTCTGATCTGGGCAGTGAAAACTGGCTTCTAAGTATGACCTGATGATCCCAGTGATGTCGCAAGCAGGTTCCAGTCCCTGTGCCTCCCATTCCCGCTCCCAGGAGCCCGCCCAGCCTCAGGAACTTCCCCTAGCCCTCCGGCCTTGACTACTTAAGGGACCTGGATCCACCCCACAGCTGGGACAGTCCCGGCGCCCTGCACTGGGGATCTAGGATGGGGGCCTTGGCCAGGGCCCTGCTGTCCATTCTGCTGGCATTGCTGCTCACGTTCACCCCAGAGGCTCTGGGTGCCAACCCCGGCCTGGTAGCCAGGATCACCAACAAGGGCCTGGAATACGGTAAGAAGCCACGGCTGCTGGCTGGACTTGGCAAACCCAGGCCCTAAGCCGCTCTGGGTACAGCAGGGACAGGGAGAGGGGACACAGACTGGACTGTCTCCCTGGGGCAGTGCCATCTTCTGGGGGCTCTGGCTCCGATTCCAGCCTCACCGCCCACCAGCTGAGTGTCCTGGGCAGGTTATTTGTGGTAGTGAGGCGCTCCACCAGCCGAGAGAGCACAGCTTTGCGTGTAAGCGGTTGATCTGGGACATTATCCCAGGAAACGCTGTGGGGAAGCGGTTCTGAGATGAGGAAGAGAACACAGCCAGGAGAGAGTGTGGGATTCAACGCACCACCTCCGAGGATGGGACCCACTCCGCTGGGAAACACATGCCTCTGAACTAGAGGACAGAACTGTGGTCACCTCTGGAGGCAGGCAGAGACCCTGAAGGGCATGAGGGAGCCTGCTGAAGTACTGGAAGATGCTGCATCTTGATTCAGGTGGTGGTCACATGACTGTATAAACATTAAAAATTATTTAGCAATGCCTTTAAAATTAGTGCCCGTTAGGCACCTTATGTATATTATTCCTCAGTTTTAAAGAATGGGCAGGCCAGGCACAGTGGCTCATGCCTGTAATCCCAGCACCTTGGGAGGCCAAGGTGGATGGCTAGCTTGAGGCCAGGAGTTCGAGACCAGCCTGGCCAAATTGGTGAAACCTTGTCTCTACTAAAAATAAAAAATTAGCCAGGTGCGGTGGCAGGCACCTGTAATCCCAGCTACTCAAGAGGCTGAGGCAGGAGAATCGCTTGAACCCAGGAGGCGGAGGTGGCAGTGTATTGCAGCCTGAGCAATAGAAGGAGACTGTCTCAAAAAATGAATCAATAAATAAATATGAAAAAAGAATGGGCAAAAGTAGGACTATTTCTGTACTTGAAACAAAGCCCCCAGACTAGCCCGGTGGCAAGGGAGCTGGGACATTTATACACTGCAGTGATTGATTGACAGCTTCTAGGCAGGGGGATGTCAGCTCCCCAGCATTTTTGTCCTGTAGCATGTACCTGCTTTCTGCAGTTCCAGGACAAAGAGCCTCAGACCCCCACATTCATCACTATTCATCTTGCCTCATCTCAGCCAGTCTCTTAAGAGCTCAGCTAGGAAGGCCTGGTTTTGCAGATGAGGAAACTGAGGCTCAGGGAGGCAGACATTGGCAGCTGGGAGTCAACTGTCACTCACTGGAAAGACTCAAGGATATGGACAGGCACTGGCCACAGGTGCGTCTTGCATTCCTAGAGCCTGAATTGCCTTACCTGTGAAATGAGATAACAATATTCCCTTAGGTAGGGTTGCTGGGAGCCCAGACTGGCTTGAGGCAGGGAGAGGGAAATCAGGGAAGGCTTCCAGGATGAAGTAAGGTGGAAAAGACAGTAGGAATTACACAGGGACAAGGGGTAGCGTTCCAGGCAGAGGAGCCGCAACATGTGCGTTTGCTAGAGGAAGAAGAGCAAATTGGAAAGAGGTGAAAAAGGAGGCCACTGGTCATCTGTGTACCCATGCCTGCCTTGCGGGCAGAAACCTGGGTCCCTCAGATCTTGGAACAGTGGGATCTGGTAACTGCTACTTGCACTGCAACCCTATATCAGGAGGGTTTGTCTTTTGTGCCTTTTTGTGCCTTTTTGTTCCTTGGCGCTGTGCACACACACCATGTTTACGTAACCAAAACATGGTCCTTGCCACATTTTTAGTAATATAAACCCTGTTTGCTGTTCCAGGCATTTACTGAGTGCCTGCTGTGTGCCAGGCACCAAGCTGGGGTGCTTTGTTATCTTCCCAGCCCCCTTTGCTTTGCAGTTGAGATGACACCCTGATAGGAAAGTATTGTTGTCTTGCTATTCGACAGATAAACAAAGTGAAGGTTGGTTGGGGACTTTGTCAAAGTCACCCAGCTAGAAAGATGCCCACTTTCTCTAGCCCCCAATGCTTCCAGTTTCTTCTACACAGGCCAGATGCCATGAAGGACCAGAAGGAGGACCACATGCCAAAGCGCACAGCACTTTTGTCCTCAGGGAGTTGTTGGCAAAGGCATTCCATTTCCTCGTCTGTAAAATGGACGTGAGCATAACAATGCCACAGGAAATGCAGGGATGCCTCTGAATGTCCCTCATGCTACCTGGCTCGCAGAGGGTCTCATATCCTGTCATTGCACTTAATGCCAATAAGGATGTTGGGCTCTCTCCTCAGGGCAGATGGGAGCCACAGTAGGGTTTAGAGCAGGGGAGGAGGCAGGTCGATCAAACTGACTCCCAGCTGCTTCCTGTCCACAGCGGCCCAGGAGGGGCGATTGGCTCTGCAGAGTGAGCTGCTCAAGATCACGCTGCCTGACTTCACCGGGGACGTCAGGATCCCCCACATCGGCCGTGGACACTATGAGTTCCACAGGTGTGGCTCTCCCTTCTGCTGGGGCTCCGAGGTGGCTGGAACTGACAGTCAGAGAGGATTGGAGAGTGAGGGAGGGAGAGCCTCAGGATTGGGCTGCGCGGGGGAACTCTCTGGGGCAGACGGTGGGATAGTTCCCTGAGACGTTCAGAAGGAAATTCTGGAAGGACAATCAGGCCCGAAGCACACTGCACCCCTCCCCACCTATTCCTATTGAGTGTTTCCTTCATTCCTGCCTTCTTTTATTCAGTCCATCAGCAAACATCTATTGAGCACCTACTATGTGCCAAGCAAATAAAACAGAACTTGACCGTTCTTTTCACACTGTTGACAACCTTGCTGACCCTTTTTGGGTCTTCTCTTAAGGCTGCCATCATCTTCCCTAAATCTGTTTCCCCTACCTGGATGTATTGAGAGAGGGAGCTGCAAACCCAAAGGGACGTGTCTGTGAACCTCCTCAGGATGCCGCCTGCGGTCATCAGAGTCGTGGGTTCCGATGCTGACTGTGAACCTGCAGGCAATTGCATCCCTTCCTTGAGGTTCAATTTCCCCCTCTGTGGAAAGGGAATAAGAACAGTGCTGACCCCCTCGGTGCGACCCAAATGGCATGAAGAATTATTGTGCTGAGCATGGTCACATGGTCAGTGCCTGGGACATAGCTGGTGCTCACCTAGTCCCCACTGTGGAGAGGGAGGGTTGCAAAGGTGGGAGCTGGATCCAGGCCCAGGGCTGACACCTCCTTCCGTGTCTCTCCCTTCAGCTTGAACATCCACAGCTGCGAGCTGCTTCGCTCTGCGATGAGGCCCGTCCCTGGCCAGGGCCTGAGTCTCAGCATCTCCGACTCCTCTATCAGGGTCCAGGGCAGGTGGAAGGTGCGCAAGTCATTCTTGTAAGTTGGCTCTGCTCCCAGGCCCTGGAGCTCTTGGCCTCGGCCTTCGCCCCATCCTTCTCAGGTCCAAGGTGTTCCTAACTCATCAGAAAGGCCAGGTGGGCTGGGCGCAGTGGCTCAAGCCTGTAATCCCAGCACTTTGGGAGGCTGAGGCGGGTGGATCACGAGGTCGAGAGATCGAGACCATCCTGATCAACATGGTGAAACCCCGTCTCTACTAAAAATACGAAAAATTAGCTGGGCATGGTGGCGCGTGCCTGTAATCCCAGCTCCTCAGGAGGCTGAGGCAGGAGAATTGCTCGAACCCAGGAGGCGGAGGTTACGGTGAGCTGAGATGGCGCCATTGCACTCCAGCCTAAGTGACAAGAATGAAACTCCATCTCAAAAAAAAAAAAGGAAGGCCAGGTGATGGACAGGTGGAGCCCAAGCCCAGAGGTGGCCTGGGAATAGAGTCCTGGCTCTGGGGTGTCTTTCCCTGAGTCTCTACTTCCTCATCTCCCAGAGGGGACGGGCCTGCTTCCTTTATAGAGTCATGGGAGGCTAAATGCAGTAATATCAAGTCTCCTTGGTTCCCACAGAAACAGACCTTAAGGCAAGAATCTCAGTGCAATACTTTATCTTGGAAGTGATCTGAGGAAATATCCACAGGGGAGCAGGGAAATGAGAAAGGGAAGGGAAGGAACTCAGCCCAGTGGGTGAGTGAGGACAGCATAGAACACGCCTCTGAGTTACTCCAGCCCCGCCCGGTCGCCCCTTCCTCCTGCTTGCCTTTGGTCAAGGGCTGCTTCCAGGGGCTCTGGCTCTCAGGCACTTTGAACAGATCTCTGACCTCAGAGGCACTCGGATGGAAGGGTATTCGTGTGCTAGGGCTGTCATAACAAGCATAGACTGGGTGGCTTAAGCAGAAATGTGTTTTCTCACCATTCCGGAGGCTGAAGGCCAAGATTAAGGTTTTGGCAGGCCTAGTTTCTTCTGAGGCCACTCTTCTCGGCCTGTGGACGGCTACCCTTCGGCAACGTCCTCACATGGTCTTTCGTCTGTGCTCAAGAAATCCTGTTTCTGAGGCCATGCACGTTGGCTCACACCTGTAATCCCAGCACTTTGGGCGGCCGAGACAGGCAGATCACTTGAGGTCAGGAGTTCGAGACCAACTTGGCCAACATAGCGAACCTCAGCCTTAATAAATAAAAAATTAGCCAGGTGTGGTGGTGGGCACCTGCAATCCCAACTACTCGGGAGGCAGAGACAGAAGACTCATTTGAACCCTGGAGGCAGAGGTTGCAGTGAGCTGAGATCATGCCACCGCACTCCATCCTGAGGGACAGAGTGAGACTTCATCTCTAAAGAAAAAATAAAGAAAAACCCCATTTCTCGCTGTACGTCCTAATCTCTTTTCATAAAGACACTAGTCAGATTGGATTAGGGCCCACCCTAATAGCCTCATTTTAATGTAATCACCTCTTCAAGGGACCTATCTCCAAATGCTGTCACATTCTCTGGTACTGGGAATCAGAGCTTCAACATTTGAATTTGGGAAGCAGGTGGTGACACAGTGCAGCCCACAACAGAAGGAACAGCCAATCTCTGCTGAGTGACATGACCTTATTTATACTTCAGACCTGCACTGCCCAAAATAGTAGCCACCAGCCATGCCTTTACTGAGCACTTGAAAAGTACCTGGTACAAGTTGAGATCTACTCTAAATGTGCAACACTGGATTTGAAGATTTCGTATTAAAACAAAAAACAAACAAACAAACAAACAAAAAAAACAGATGCCGGGCACGATGGCTCACGCCTGTAATCTCAGCACTTTGGGAGGCCAAGGCAGGTGGATCATGTGAGGTCAAGAGTTTGAGACCAGCCTGGTCAACATGATGAAACCCTGTTTCTACTAAAAATACAAAAATTAGCCAGGCCGTAGTGGCACACACCTATAATCTCAGCTACTTGGGAGGTTGAGGTGGGAGAATTGCTTGAGCCCGGGAGCTGGAGGTTGCGGTGAGCCAAGATTGCACCACTGCACTCCAGTCTGGGCAAGAGAGTGAGACCCTGTCTCAAAAAGAAAGAAAAAACCATAAATCTCATTAATAATTTTTGTATTGATTACATGTTGAAATGATATTATGTATTACTAAAATTAATTCCAGCTCTTTCTATCTTTTTTAATGTGTCTTCTGGGAAATTTAAAATTACATGTGTGGCTCACATTCTATGGATTTAAAAAGATGCCAGTTTATATGTCACTTACATATGCACATTCATTCTAGTTCCATGAAAGGAATCGGCTGTACTCTACTACCTTGGCTTTTGTCACTGAAGTATCTTAAATATCTCTTTAGATGGGCATATGACAATCTACCTCATTTTTTTTTTTACTTTTTTGACTGTGCTTTTAAAAATCGATAAGAAATTCACAGAACATAAAATTGATTATTTGAGAGTATACAATTCCGTGGCATTTAGTACATTCACAGTATTACGCAACCTCCACCCCTATCTAGTTCCAAAACATTTTCATCATCGCAAGAGAAAACTCCTTACTCATTAAACAATCATCCCCTGTAGGGAGTAGAAAAGTTCCTCTTCAAAGTTTCCTTTCTTGTTAACGAATAACTCATAAGCATTAGAAATAATAGTTTGTTTTAAAGACTTTCTTCAAAGCCTTCTTGCTTTTTGCTGGTAACTCTTTGTTAAGCACTATCCTATGTAGCTATTAGATATAAAGGAATAAGCATATTCTATATGCTTGTGCTTTAACCAAGATATTTGTGCTAGACATGCTCACAGGCACATAGTACATTCTATGTTCTTGAACTTTAACCAAGATATTTCTGTTATTACTTTTCTAAGTCCTTTTGCAGGCAACTTCCTGTCCTTTCCTTACTTGGACTTCCTCTCTGCCTATTCAAGAAAGTTTTAAGTTATTAGCCAATTGAGTTCAGTTTTAGATTGTGAGGTCTGGCTCCAGCCAACAGAGATCAGACACAGCAATAAGGATGACCCCCAAATGCCTAAGGGATAAATATGTCTCCTTTTCCTTTGTTCATTGTACTCTCATGGCAAGACTGCTGGTGAGGGTACCCTTTCTGCAGGAAGTAAAGACTACCTTGCTGAGAGATACTTTGTTTCAGTGCTGACTTTTCTTTGCGGCACTGAGCATCTGTTTCCAGTATTCCCCCTTTCCCTTTCCCCAGCTCCAGACAACTGCCATTGGGGTTGGAGACCCCTAGAATAGAGCACATTTTTGCCCCATTGTTTTCAAAGGCTACATAATATAGGTGCCCACAACTTATTCAGCCTGTCACCTGTCACTGCTTGTGGACATTCAGGTTGTCTCCTCAATTTTTTTTCTACTACCCATGATGCTTTAGTGAACTGCCGCACACCACACGTATATCTTGGTAGGAAGAGCTATAGGATAAAGGCTTAGAAGTTAAATTACTGGGCCAAAGAGTATGTGTGTTAGAACAAGGAGATATCCTGCTGATTTATGTTTCAGAAAGGTTGTGCCAGTGTGCTGTCCTAGCCCCAGTGTCTGGGACTTCTGTTTACTCATACATTCAATAGCACTGGGTATTAAAACTTCAAAAGTTTTTTGAATCTGATAGGCAAGAACTGGTGTCATTGTTATTTTCGTTTTTAATCACTTTAAATGCTTGTTTTCTACTGCATTTCCTGGTCATATCTTTTTTTCTTTAGAGTTGTTTGTCTTTCCTTGTTAACTGATATTGGCTTGTTCTTTGTATATTAAGGAAATTAGTTCATATATTCAGGAAATTGGCTCTTTGGATGTCTCATAATGCGATTTGTTTTTTACTTTACATATGGCATTTTTGTCCACTGAAGTTTTCATTTTCTATGCCTGCAAGTTTATCAAGTATTTCCTTTATATACTAATGAGACTCGGATCTCATAAATATATAAAGGATATGGCTTATGAAACTTGGATCTTGCCTAGAAATGCCTTCGTCCATCCCTGGACTGTAAATACTGGACCTGGGCTTTCTTTCAAATCTTTTATGGCTTTAGTTGTTATTCTTAAATCTCTACTCAGCTCCATTTATTTTGGGGTAAGAATTGAGCGTGCTATTCTCCCCACAAATGGTGGCAGACCCTGGTCTAGGAACCAACCGTGGCTTCTCTCATCTCCTCCAGGAAACTACAAGGCTCCTTTGATGTGAGTGTTAAGGGCATCAGCATTTCCGTCAACCTCCTATTGGGCAGCGAGCCCTCAGGGAGGCCCACAGTTACTGCCTCCAGATGTAGCAGCAACATCGGCGACGTGGAGGTGGACATGTCAGGAGACTTGGGGTAGGTCCCCTTCGGAGCACTGCCAACTGGACTCCTGGTTGCAGCCCCTGGCCCGTCCAACGGTCAGCCTGGCCTCCGGTAATTGCAATGATCTAGGTGGATGGCACAGGCACATGAAGGTTATTCTTTGGGGAACCCTGTTGAGATGAACAGATACAGACTTAAGCCAGGAATACTGATGCGTCGTTTTCATTAAAACAATAAGCTTCAGGGAACCCTTGTCAGGTGAATGAAATCTGGCTATTGGAGGAACACAGAAGCTTTGGTTGAAGGAGAATTTGCAAAAAAATATATATATATACAAGTCCTTGGACGAGTCATTTCATCTCTTCTGGTCTCAGTTTCCTCGATTAGAAAAGTGTGGCCGGGTGCAGTGGCTCACACCTGTAATCTCAGCAATTTGGGAGGCCAAAGCAGCAAATCGCTTGAGCTCAGGAGTTTGAGACCAGCCTGGTCAACAAGGTGAAAAGCTGTTTCTACAAAAAATACAAGCATTAGCCAGGCATGGCCGGGCGCAGTGGCTCACGCCTGTAATCCCAACACTTTGGGAGGCCAAGGCGGGCAGAACACCTGAGGTCAAGAGTTCAAGACCAGCCTGGCCAACGTGGTGAAATCCCGTCTCTACTAAAAATACAAAAAATTAGCCGGGTGTGGTGGCAGGCACCTGTAATCCCAGCTACTTAGGAGGCTGATGCAGGAGAATCACTTGAGCCTGGGAGGAGGAGGTTTGCAGTGAGCCGAGACTGCGCCACAGCACTCCAGACTGAGCAACAGAGCGAGACTCCATCTCAAAAAGAAAAAAAAGAAAAAATTAGCCAGGCATGATGGTGCACGCCTGTAGTCTCAGCTACTTCAGGGGCTAAGGTGGGAGGATGGCTAGAGGCCAGGCGATAGACGTTGCAGTGAGCTGAGATTAGCCCCTTCCCCAAATCTTCTGAATGTGATCATCCGATCCGGTGCCATAGGTGTTGAGAAGCCAGATGCTCGGAATCAGGCTAGGTGTGCTGGGACACAGCAGGGCGCCAGGAGGCGGTGGAAAGGGCTCCCTTTGTGGACTGGCCTCGCCAGGAACCAGGGCCGGGCTTTCCCAGACACCCGGCTGAGTTCAGTGGCAGACCGTGCTTCTCTCCCTAGGTGGCTGTTGAATCTCTTCCACAACCAGATCGAGTCCAGGTTCCAGAAGGTATTGGAGAGCAAGGTAAGAAGGCCCAAGCCTCTGGCCTCTGCTGAGCTTGGTGACTGCTGAATGGAAGATCTCACTGCCCACTGGCCCTGGACCAGCCATGGGGGCTGGTTTGGGTGCACTTGGGCCTAAGGCCCAGGGAAGACAAATCATTTGCCCAGGTCATGGGGCCGTTGTGGAGCAGGCTGGGGGCAAAACTCCAAGTCCATTCAGTTGGGCAGAAAATGGTCAAGTGCTTGCCAAGGGTTAAACAGCAGGGGCTAAGCACAGACTCCAGCCCCTCCCTCTGTTCAGCCTTGCTCAGTGCCTCAAACTGCCCTGTGTTCCACCAAGGTCAGAAAGGAGATCATTCCTCAGGTGCCTGCAAGAGACCAGGCAGGAAACCTCAGCACGTGGGTGGGCCAGGTGGGAACCGGGCAAGCTCCTGAGCATCAGCCCTGGATGGGGAGGCAGCAATACTGTCAGATTTTCCTGTTAGAAAAGAATATATGAAATCTTCAGATTTTGTCGTCTTCAACTAAATCACAAAGATTTCATGTTAACTCTCAGTTCCTCTAAACAGTCATCACCTCAAAATCCCGTTTCTGAGATATTAGCCAAAGGGTGTCTGTAGCAACGACCGTGGGAAGGGAGAAAGTGATGAAGGAGGAAAGGGAAAAATACACACACCACACACACACCACATACACACACTACACACACCCTACATATCCTACACATACACAAACACACCACACACACTCCCTACACGTGCACACTACACACACCACACACACACACCACTCATACCCCCCTACATGCACACACCACACCATGCACACACACACACACTACACACATACACACACACCTCACACACCACACCCCCACACTCCCCACAAACATACCCCCATACACACATCCCACACGCATACCACATCCTCACAAACACACACCCCCCACATACCACACACAGCCTACATACCCTACACACACACTCCCCTTACATATCCTGCATACACACAAACACACTACACACACCCCCTACACGCACACACTACACACACCACACACACCCTACACACACAGACCACACACACACACCACTCACACCCCTACATGCACACATCGCACACACTCCACACCATACACACACACACACACACACACCCACACACACACACACACACCGGTCTGTAGGACCCATCTGTAGGTCCAGCCTCTGGTTTGTCTTTGAGTGCCCCCTCGTGGTTGAAGCAGGAACGGCCAGCAGACCCCCACATTTTGGGTGTGGCCAGCTGTGTCGTTTCTTTTCCGGTTCTGGGGCCCTGAGATTAAGTGACCTTGAGAAACATGCCAACCTACTCAGGCACCCTGTTGCCATATTGCTGTGCATAACAATAGTAATGTAGTACAGTTATAATTATCATAGTAGTCACGGACCATGATAATTATTGTTTTGATAAATGAATATAATTAATGCTATACAGAATCTATTCTTGTGTAACTATTCTGATTTATAACAGAAAAGGCTGCTATTTCTTGAGCCTGTGGCTTGGCCAGGGATAGTGGGCTCAGTACTTCATGTGTACAGTCTCATTCGATCTTAACCTTGACCTTGGAAGGAGGCACCATTTTCCACATGGACAGATCTGAGGGGTGGAGTAGCTGGCCCAGTGTCACCTTGCTGGTGAGAGGCTGAGTCAGGATTGGAGCTTCCTAGGATGTGGAGCAGCTCATACCAAAAGCCTTCTAGGGCTGGGTGTCTCGGGACCCCTGATCTTTCTAGATCTTCCAATTCTCTTCCTTCCAGAAAAACTAAGAGCCTGGTGTAGGGCCTTTCCAGTTCTCCACTCAGGGTGGGACGTGTTACCTGGACCGGCAGGGTTAAGGAGAAGAAGAAGCACTCACGGAATGCTTGCTCTCCGGGTGATATATACTCACTGTCTCATTCCCCAACTTCCCAAAATGTTACCAGAAAGGGGTCCTGAGCCAGAACCTCAAGAGAGGGTTCTTGGATCTCACTTAAGAACAAATTTGGGGTGAGTAAGGTGAAAGCAAGTTAATTAGAGAAGTCAGGCGGAGAAGCAGTCCTGCTGACATCCTGGCTCACCCTGTGACTAAGAATGCCTAACCTCCTGGGAACGCAGCCCAGCAGGTCTTAGCCTCATTTTGCCCCTGTTCAAGGTAGTCACTCTAGTTCAAACACCACTGACAAAAACACCCTGGGAAACACTTGGCCTTGCCATTATATCTTGTGGGTGAGAACCAAAAAGTAGAGAGAGGTTCAGCAAAGGTCAAGCAGCCATTGGGCACTGGGCAGGATTCGAACTCAAGTTTGCCTGGCTTTCCTGCCATGCCCCAACCACTACCCCAGCTGCCTCTCCAGGAGGCCCTGCTGTGTGGGGTCCCTAAAGCCTGGGGCATCCAGGCTCCAGGCTTTCAGGATGATCTGATGGGCTGTTGTCTGAAGGAAAGGCAAGAAAGGAGTATGGAGGTAGACAGAGTTTCTTGGTTCCCTTGCAAACAACCACGAATGTTCCTCACGACGTTTGACCTTGCTTTCTGACAGCTCCTCGCTACTAAACTCCTCTCCCAGAAAGTAGAGCAGCTGCAAAGGGTTAAGATATACCGCTTTGCCTTCCCAGCCCCCAGCATCCCCCCTCCCCACAGCCCAATACCTGATGAATAATGCCTGCTCACCCATTAGCACAGAAGCCATCTGTGACCCCTGCACAGCCCTCTCCTTCACTACATATGTGGATTCTTTGCACAATAGGAGGTAGCTGGCTAACAAAAGGAGCTGTTTAAAGTGAGGACTTTCTCATCGCACATAAAGAGAGACAATACTGATGTATGAACCCAAAATTTTTTTTTTAATGGAGTTTCACTCTTGTTGCCCAGGCTGGAGTGCAATGGCGCAATCTTGGCTCACTGCAACGTCCACCTCTTGGGTTCCAGCGATTCTCCTGCCTCAGCCTCCTGTGTAGCTGGGATTACAGGCATGTGCCACCACGCCCAGCTAATTTTTGTATTTTTTAGGTAGAGACGGGGTTTCTCCAAGTTGGTCAGGCTGGTCTCGAACTCCCGACCTCAGGTGATCCACCCGCCTCAGCCTCCCAAAGTGCTGGCATTACAGGCATGAGCCACCTCGCACAGCCGAACCCAAATGTTTTAATGGTGGAGTTTCAGGCAGCGTCTTCAGCCAATACTTCCTCGTCGAGCTGTGTCAGTGAATGCCCATAGTTATTCTTTGAAAATGGTCTCTTGATTGACATTGCCATGGTCTTTCCTCATAAAACATTGACCTGCTACAAATTCCATCCTGGGTTTCTTTGACCGCAATGAGAATTTAAAGACACTTGCAAAGTCATCCCAGTATAGAATCCTTCTAGAGCCTTATGACTTTTTTTCCTCCTAAGATTTTCTGTTGTCTGGTCCAAATTTAACTATGTTTTTAGAGGGTTGTTTTTTGTTTTGTTTTGTTTTGTTTTGTTTGTTTTGTTTTGTTTTTAAGCACCCGTACCCTTGCAGAGTATTCGTCTTAGGTTTTCATAGAAAGAACTCTTTTAGCTGGGGCCGGGCATGGTGGCTCAGCCTGTAATCCCAGGACTCTGGGAGGCTGAGAGGAGTAGATCACTTGAGGTCAGGAGTTTGAGACCAGCTTGGCCAACGTGGTGAGACCCCCGTCTCTATTAAAAATACAAAAATTAGCTGGGTGTGGTGGTGCATGCCTGTAATTCCAGCTACTCAGGAGGCGGAGGTAGGAGAATCACTTGAATCTGGGAGCCGGAAGTTGCAGTGAGCTGAGATCATGCCATTGCACATTGCACTCCAGCCTGGGTAACAGAGCAAGACTGTGTCTTAATAAAAATAAAAAATAAATAAATAAAAATAAATAAATAAACCAGACAAACAACTCTTTTCTCAATTATATTGCATTAGTTTACGTAATAAATTATTCTAGTGCTTACAAAAGCACGTGCAGCAAACAGGTTGCAGGGCTTTCATGTGGAGCCCAGCAGGGTCCAGCTGGACTTTTCAAAATCTATCCCAAGGCTGGATAATAAATAATTCGGGTAATTACAGTAGCAAGTACAGCAATCAAGTTTGGAAATGCCCATTTCCTTCTCTTGAGAAGCTGGCCACACAACTGGTGGTAATTGTGTGTGAGTAGCCTACAAACCCCCGATTCAGTCTTCCAGGAGTGCCGGCAGGAATGGGGAATACTCATCAATCCAGCCAACCTGTTCAGGATGACCATTAAGAACTATTTACACACTGAGAGCGGTGGCTCACACCTGTCATCCCAGCATTTTGGGAAGCAGAGACAGCTGGTTTGTCTGAGGTCAGGAGTTCAAGACCAGCCAGGCCAACATGATGAATGAAACCCTGTCTCTACTAAATTTACAACAATTAGCTGGCCGTGGTGGCGCACACCTGTAGTCCCAGCTACTCGGGAGGTTGAGGCAGGAGAATCGCTTGAACCCAGGAAGCAGAGGTTGCAGTGGGCTGAGATCACGCCCTTTCACTCCAACCTGAGCGACAAGAGTGAAACTCCATCTCAAAAACAAACAAAAAAAAAGAGCTACCTACATTAACTGTATGTTCATTTGTGTGATTATTTCTAGTTAGTGTCTAGTTCTACTATTAAACTCTAAATTCCGAGAGGCCAGGACCTCCCAAAGGAAAACTTTCTCTATAATGGTGGAGTTTTAGGCACTGTCTCCAGCCAGCGCCCCATCCTCTGGCTGTGTCAGTGACTCCCTAGCTTAGAAGTCCATTCTTGGGACAGACTTTGAAAAGTCCACTTTGACCCTAGTGGAGTCCACATGGGAGCCTACATATTTTTATTGTTTCCATTTCCTTGGTACCTGGTTGATGGCAAGCACTTATAAATATTTGTAAATCAGTGATCACATAGCATGCATATGAAATAATGTGGCTGCAGTCATCAGCACCATGCCAGACCAGAGCTGGGGAACTCACTCAGGCATTCTCTTCCCATTTTTTTCAGATCTGTGAAATGATCCAGAAATCAGTGTCCTCCAATCTACAGCCTTATCTCCAAACTCTGCCAGGTAGGACACCCCACCCACCCCGGGATAATTTATTTCTGTTAATTTCTATAACATCATATGTGTACCTTATAAAATAGCAAATGGGACAGAAATATAGATAATGAAAATTAAGGGCTGGGCGTGGTGGTTCGCACCTGCAGTCCCAGCACTTTGGGAGGCCGAGATGGGCGGATTAGCTGAGACCAGGAGTTCGAGACCAGCCTGACCAACATGGCAAAACCCCATCTCCACTACAAATACAAACTTAGCTGGGCATAGTGGCACATGCCTGTAACCCCAGCTACTCGGGAGGCTGAGGCAGGAGAATTGCTTGAACCTGGGAGGCAGATGTTTCGGTGAGCCAAGATCACGCCATTGCAATTCACCCTAGGCAACAAAAAGCGAAATTCCGTCTCAAAAAAAGGAAAAAAAGTAAAAATTGAAAGTTGCTTTTTCTCCCCAACTTTTCTTCCAAGAAGTAACCTCTTGTTTGAATGTATCTTTTCAGATAACTTATTTACATGTACAAATATAAATATATGTAAGCATATGAATAGACATTCACATATGTATTATTTTGTTCATGAATCTATCTGTATTTGCATAATTATAAATATCTATGTTCATATACATAGGATAGACATTGTTCCAGGTTTCTTTTTTTTGAGACAGGGTCTAACTCTGTGGCCCAGGCTGGAGTGCAGTGGTGTGATTTCGGCTCACTGCAGCCTCAACCTCCTGAGCTCAAGTGATCCTCCTGCCTCAGCCACCTGAGTAGCTGGGACCACAGGTTCCTTGCCATCACACCCAGCTACTTTTTTTATTTTTTGTAGAGACAGGGTTTCTCTGTGTTGCCCAGGCTGGTCTCGAACTCCTGGGCTCAAGTGATCCACCCACCTCAGCCTCCCAAAGTACTGACAGGATCGAGCCACCATGCCAGCCTGATTTAATTTTTCAAAACTTTTTATTGAAGTATATTTTATAGAGAAAAGTGCTCAAATCATAAGTGTATAGTTAAAGAGTTTTCACATGCATGTAACCAGCTCCCAATCAAGAAACAGAACATGGCTGGTTTTTCAGAGCCCCTGGTGTCCCCCTCGATCACTACCCAGCCCTCTAGGGTCACCACCATCCCAACTTCTACCAGCAAAGATTAGATTTGCACTTTGCACATGAATGGAATCAGACATACTTTGAGTCTCTTTTCAAAAGCCAGAAGGCTTTCTTTGTTCAACTTTAATATATGAGGTCAGGACAGGGTGCGGTGGATCACGCCTTTAATCCCAGCATTTAGGGAGGCCGAGGCGGGTGGATTACCTGAGGTCAGGAGTTCGAGACCAGACTGGTCAACATAGCGAAACCCCATCTCTACTAAAAATACAAAAATTAGCCAGGCATCATGGTGGGCATCTGTAATCCCAGCTACTCAGGAGGCTGAGGCAGGAGAATCATTTGAATCTGGGAGGCAGAGGTTGCAATGAGCCGAGATCGCACCACTGCACTCCAGCTTGGGCAACAGAACAAGACTCTGTCTCAAAATAATAATAATAATAATGATAATAATAGGCTGGGAGCTGTGGTTTATACCTATAATCCCTGCATTTTGGGAGTCCAAAGTGGGTGGATCATGAGGGCAGGAGTTCAAGACCAGCCTGACCAAGATGGTAAAACCCTGTCTCTACAAAAAATACAAAAATTAGCCAGGCATGGTGGTAGGCACCTATAATCTCAGTTACTTGGGAGGTTGAGGCAGGGAATTGATTGAACCCGGGAGGCAGAGGTTGCAGTGAGCCAAGACTGCACCACTGCACTCCAGCCTGGGTGACAGAGCGAAACTCTGTCTCAAAAATAATAATATTGTTAAATAATAAATAAATAAAATAAAATATGAGATCAGGCCAGGAGCGGTGGTGCACACCTGTAATCCCAGCACTTTGAGAGGCCAGTGAGGGAGGATCACTTGAGTTCAGGAGTTCAAGGCCAGCCTGGGCAATGTGGTGAAACCCTGTCTCTACAATAAATACAAAAATTAGCCAAGCGTAGTGGCATGCACCTGTAGTCCCAGCTACTTGGGAGGTGGGAGGATCACTTGAGCCCGGGAGGTCAAGGCAGTGGTAAGCTTAAATTGTGCCACTGCACTCCAGCCTGGGCCACAGAGTGAGACCCTATCTCAAAAAAACTGAAATAAAATCAAACATGAGGTCAATGCATATTGTTGCATGCACGTGTAGTGTAGCCGGTTCGTTCTCCTTGCTGTGTACTATACCACCGAGTAGATGTTGCTCCAGTCTTTGTCCATTCTATTATTGAAGGCTATCTGGGGGCGGTGTTCAGTTTCAGCCCATGCGCTGCTATGAATATCCTAGTACCTCTGGTCATATGTCTTCGGGTATATACCTGGGAGTGAAATTGCAGGCTCGTGTGACATGCCCAAATTCAGTATTATCAGATCCTGGCAAAAAGTTTCCCAAAGTGGTTGTATTATGTTAACAGCTACGTAGCATTCCATCATATGGACGTGTCTTCGTTTATTTAATAAGTCCCTGCTGACGGACGTTTCGGTGTCTGCCTTTCCCTTGCTGATGCCAACAGGGCTGCAGGGAGCCATTTACAAGTGGAGTCCCTGGATCCAGGGTGCACACATTCAGTGTGGACGGGGAGACCCTGATCAATTATCTCAGGTGTTCTCTGATGCCTGGGCTCCCAAGCCCCCATGTGGTTACTTGTTGACATCACCTTTACTAGAAGTCCAAGTCGGCAACCCGGTACTGAGACTTGGAACACTCGTTCATTCAGGGCTTTGGAGGGGAGTGTCTGGGCCCTCTGGACACACCCTGCCTGACCTTCCTGGTTCAGCATTAAGCTCCAGGTGTGGCTGGAGAGGTGAAGCCTGGACTCATGGTGAGTGTGTGTGTGTGTGTGTGTGTGTGTGTGTGTGTGTGTGTCTGGAAACTGCTTAGGCCCTAAGCTGAGCATAACACCCCATCACTGTTAACTCCCCCAAGGGAACCCAGTCTCTTTCTTGAAGAAGCAATTCTTTGCCTCGGGCCCAGCTGGTAAGGGGAGTCTGAAGAAAGTCACAGGGAATGTGAGTCAGCCAGAGCCCTCGCCCCTCCTCCAGCAGCTGAAAGTGGCACCTGGCCCCTAATTCTGCCCTGTCCTGGTTCACAGTCACAAAAGAGATTGACAGTTTCGCCGGCATTGATTACAGCTTAGTGGAAGCCCCTCGAGCAACAGCCCAGATGCTGGAGGTGATGTTTAAGGTGAGCGCCCTGGAGCCGGGCTGGGTGGGTGAGGCTTTCCCCCAGGATCAGCCATTCCCTAGGCCAGCTGTCCCCCTAACTTCAGATCTGTCCTTGTCTTCCCAGTGGTTCCCACTGTGTCGAGGGCTGGGCGATATGGAGTGGTGGGGAGTGTTCCCAGAGCTAGGATTCCCCGACGGGTGCCTTACACCTCTCAGGTCTTAACGCTTCCCTCCTCCTTCCCCTACTTTGCCTTGCCCATGACGCAGAAAAGGCCAATCAGAGCAGGGCCTAGGGAGTGTAGATGACCCTAGGGCATATAGAGGGGCTGGCCAGGACGTCCTGTGGGTTAATATAGAAAAGCTTCTAGGGAGCTCTTCATTAAAAGACAACACTGCTGTCGGGCGGTGGCTCACGCCTGTAATCCCAGCACTTTGAGAGGCCGAGGTGGGTAGATCATGAGGTCAAAATATCGAGACCATCCTGGTCAACATGGTGAAACTCCGTCTCTACTAAAAATACAAAAAATCAGCTGGGTATGGTGGCGCGTGCCTGTAATCCCAGCTACTCAGGAGGCTGAGGCAGGAGAATTGCCTGAACCCAGGAGGCGGAGGTTGCGGTGAGCCAAGATCGCGCCATTGCACTCCAGCCTGGGTAACAAGAGCGAAACTCCGTCTCAAAAAAAAAAAAAAAAAAAAAAAAAAGACAACACTACTTTAATGGTGGAGTTTCAGGCAGTGCCCCAGCCAGCATCCTTTCATCAGACTGTGTAGGGGAACACCTAGCCCCAGCCCCGGGACAGGCTTTGAAAAGTCCAGCTGGACCCTACTTTCCTCTCCAGGGTGAAATCTTCCATCGTAACCACCGTTCCCCAGTTACCCTCCTTGCTCCCGTTATGAGCCTTCCTGAGGAACACGACAAAATGGTCTACTTCGCTGTCTCGGATTATGTCTTCAACACAGCCAGCCTGGTTTACCACCAGGAAGGGCATCTGAACTTCTCCATCACAGATGACATGGTGAGGATGGTGGCAAATAGGTCTCTCGAATGGGCATGTGACCTACCGCTTCTTCCTTCATTCCTTTTCACCTCTGTTGACATCAGTAAAATAGTAAGTTATAGCTAAGAGAAAAATCAAGACCAGGAAAAGTACGTTAACACAATCTCCCTTTTTACTTCAGCGGCCAGGAAACTCAAAGCCAAAGTTATTTCTCCCTTGGCCGGGCACCATGGCTCACGCCTGTAATCCCAGCACTTTGGGAACCTGAGGCGGGCAGATTGCTTGAGGTCAGGAGTTCGAGACCAGCCTGGCCAATATGGCCAAACCCCGTCTCTACTAAAAATACAAAAATTAGCCAGGTGTGATGGTGGTGCACACCTGTAATATCAACTACTCAGGAGGCTGAGGTGGGAGAATCACTTGAACCCAGGAGGTGGAGGTTGCAGTGAGCCAAGATCGTGCTACTGTACTCCAGCCTGGGTGACACCGTGAGACTCTGACTCAAAAAAAAAAAAAAGTTCTTTCTGCCTTATAACAACCGTGGGAGACTCTGCAGCTTGCTTTTCTGTGTTTTACTTTTCTAGGCCTGTTTTCTAGTCTAGACTTGTTAGTCTAATTTATATTTCCTTTCATCCTGATGATTTCTGGAGGTTTATCTAAAAATATTTTAGTGAATGAGGCCGGGCGCAGTGACTCACACCTGTAATCCTAACACTTTGGGAGGCTGAGGTGAGCAGATCACCTGAGGTCAGGAGTTTAAGACCATCCTGGCCAACACAGCAAAACCCTAAAAATACAAAAATTTGCAGGGCATGGCGGCATATGCCTGTAATCCCAGCTACATGGGAGGCGGAAGCAGGAGAATCTCTTAACCCCAGGAGGTGGAGGTTGTGATGAACCAGGATCTCACATTGCACTGCAGCCTGGGCAACAGAGTGAGACTCTGTCTCCAAAATATGTGTATATATATATACATATATTTCAGTGAATGAGGCAGGATAATACATGCACTGATAAATGCATTTAGTTTCAGAGAAAAGGAAATAAAGACCAATTGAAAAATAAAGCACAATTATGAAGACACTGAGCCCATAAATTAATTTCTTTAACATCTCAAATCTGTCAGGGAGCTTCCTTGTAGCTAAAACGAAAAGGATATATGATTTCATGATTCATACTGAAAAGGAGAGACAGTCTTTCTCACACCCCCAAAACAAGCCTTTCCAGTGTGGCTTTGTATAGAGAAGACTGAACGTTATAGCGGGTCATGCCTTTAATGGTTCTGCAGTTTATCTAATACTTCTGGGTTTCAAAAAGTTGTTTCTTGAAGCACTTCATCAAAGTTGAGGCCTCATGAACAACGTCAGGAGAGTGGGAGCAACCGTGTGGCTGGGCTAGGACGGCCCAGCCTCCCCTGGTGTCAATCAGGGACTTGTCTGGTAGATGGAGGGTCGTTTTGTCCTTCAAATGGCCTCCCACGCCTGCACAGGCATGGCTTGTGGCATGGTGTTTGGTTTACCCATCCTACCTGCGCCGCAGGCCTCTCTTTCCGTGGGATGATAACAGCTGTTTCATGGGGCGCTCACCATATGCGGGGCCTTGTGCTAGATATTTATTTAGCCCTCACAGTGACTTGAAGGTGGGAGCTATTGTTATCCCCATTTTATGGATGAGGAAGTTGAGGTTCAGGGAGATGAAAGGGCTGGACTGAGATCACAAAGTCAGGACAGAAACCAAGGTCTGTGTGACTGCAAACTTCACCCTTGCAGACCCTCTGAGTGGGACCTACACCTCAGCTCCACCCTGGGAGAGCAGGCAGGACGCTGGGCACCTATGTGCTCTGCTTGGGTGAATGCAGGACAGGCATCTCAGCCCTGCCAGGGTAACCCAGGCCATGGAGAAGCGACAGGCTTGCACGCCCCGGCGCCTCCCCAGTCCTCTTTAGACCTTCAGCTCCAGCAGGATCACCCTAACACTTCTTCGTGTCTCTTTGCTGCAGATACCGCCCGACTCTAATATCCGACTGACCACCAAGTCCTTCCGACCCTTCGTCCCACGGGTAAGGCATCCCTCAGTTCCCCATGAGTGTAGACTGAGCCCATTAGATTCCAGAGGTTTCTCTTTAAAACCTCTGCATTTCTCTCAGCTTGGCCAAGAGTCGGAGGGCCGGGATGAGACTCCCACTGAAGGCTGGGGTACTGTTCCCTTTAAAGCCCAAATAACAGAGGCTGAGCCCCACATTTTGTGGAACCACAGCTTGTCTAATCTTTTATTGGTGTTATCTAAGAATCCCAAGGAATGCTGGCATATTCCATAAAATGTACCCAGGACTTTTGGAGGCCAAGGCAGGTGGATCAGAAGGTCAGGAGATCAAGACCATCCTGGCCAACATTGTGAAACCTTGTCTCTACTAAAATACACAAAATTAGCTGAGCGTGGTGACACGCACCTGTAGTCCCAGCTACTAGGGAAGCTGAGACAGGAGAATCGCTTGAACCTGGGAGGCAGAGGTTGCAGTCAGCTGAGATCATGCCACTGCACTCCAGCCTCAGTGACAGAGCAAGATTCCATCTCAAAAAAAAAAAAAAAAAAAAAAAGTACCCTTATGAATAGGAGCTAACAATAATAGAGGGCTTCCTAGGCTCCAGGCATGTTCTTCGTGCTTTAAAAAATTACTTTTTGGCCAGGTATGGTGGATCATGCCTGTAATCCCAGCATTGTGGGAGGCCAAGGTGAGCAGATTGCTTGAGCCCAGGAGTTGAAGATCAGCCTGAGCAACATAACAAAACCCCATCTCTATAAATTAAAAAAAAACTAGCCCACAGCCACCAGGGAGACTGAGGTGGGAGGATCACCTGAGCCTGGGAGGTTGAGGCTGCAGTGAGCTGTGATTGCGACACTGCACTCCAGCCTGGGCAACAAAGTGAGACCCTGTCTCAAAAAAAAATTATTACAAATTTTAGTTTTTGGGATGGGCAAAGTGGCTCATGCCTGTAATCCCAGCACTTTGGAAGGTGAGGCAGTTGGATCACAAGGTCAGGAGTTCAAGACCAGCCTGACCAATTTCAATACTGAAACCCCGTTTCTGCTAAAAATACAAAAATTAGCCAGGCATGGTGGTGGCACTAGCCTGTAGAGCCAGCTACTCGGGAGGCTGAGGAAGGAGAATCGTTTGAGCACAAAAAGTGAAGGTTGCAGTGAGCTGAGATCACACCAATGCACTCCAGCCTGGGGACAGAGCGAGACTTTGTCTCAAAAAAAAAAAATAATAATAATAATAATATATACATGCGTGTGTGTGTGTGTGTGTGTGTGTGTGTGTATTGGATGGATAATAAATTCTCATGGTTCAATATTCAAAAGATAGAAAAGGTTATAGAGTAGAGTCTTACATCCACTCCTGTCCCCTAGCCACCCGGTTCCCATCTCAAGTTTGCCAGTATTAAAAGATTATGCATACCCTTCTGATATTCTATGTATATACAGGTTCAGTATCTCTTATCCCAAATGCTTGGAAAAGCAACTCTGCCCCTCTGCTGAGTGAAGCATTTTACCCCCTCAGCCTTCCAAATGTCTCCCTTCTAGAAAAGGATGTAGGTTTTAGGTTTTCATAACCAAAAGGCTCATGGGAATATCGTTTTTCCACCAATATCCTCCTAAAAAGGAAGAGTCTTGCCCCAAATAAAACTCTGTACCTATCTCTAGTTACACAGAAGCTTAAGAGCACTTTTGAAATGGTGGGATCTAGGGCCAGCTGTGGTGGCTCACGCCTATAATCCTAGCACTCTGAGGGGCCAAAGCAGGAGGATTGCTTGAGGCCAGGAGTTCAAAAGCAACCTGGGCAGCATAGCAAGACCCTATCTCTATTTTAGAAAGAAAGTTTAAAAAGAACACAGAAATGTTCTGTGGAATATCATATTAAAAGAGTAATAAGAGAAAATTAAATATTTTTTAAAAGAAAAGATGGAATCCAGCTGTGTCATATTTCAAAAACACTGGCTTCTGACCTCTGCATGCCCAATTAGCAGAGTGTGATGAGGGGATGGAGAACCAGCAGGGCTCCCCCATGGCCTCGGGAGAGATTGGCAGGGAGAAAAAAATGGGCCCCACTTTTCGGGAGGACAATTTGGCAATACCTGCTGAAAGCTCTAAAAGCATTGCTGGCCAGGTGCGGTGGCTCATGCCTGTAATCCCAGCACTTTGGGAGGCCGAGGAGGGCAGATCACCTGAGGTCAGAAGTCCGAGATCAGTCTGGCCAGCACGGTAAAACCCCGTCTCTACTTAAAATACAAAATTAACCTGGTATAGTGGCACTTGCCTGTAATCCCAGCTTCTTGGGAGGCTGAGGAAGGAGAATCTCTTGAACCCAGGAGGCAGAGGTGGCAGTGAGCCAAGATGGTGCCATTGCACTCCAGCCTGGGTGACAAGAACGAACCTCCATCTCAAAAAAAATAAAACTAAAAATAAATAATTGCTGCCCTTCAACTCAGCAATTCCTCCTCTAGGAATGTTTTCCTGAAAATAACAGCAAGGGCACTCACAAGGAGGTGGTCATTATAATGACAAAACCTTGGAGACAACTTGATGCCCAATAGCGTTTAATCCACCACAGGACCCATATACAGTGGAATACAACGCAGCTGTGAAGTCGATGGTGCAGACTCTGTGTCTGACGTGGAGAGCTGGCCAGTGTTGCAATTAAGAGAAAAAGGCACAGAGAATTTTGTGGGAAATAAAATCAACCAAAAGCAATTCCCAGCTTGATCTGACTCCCACAGCCATCTCCAGCAGACTTACATTATTTTCTTCTCTTGATGTAATCTCCTAATTCTGCTCCCAGTTAGCCAGGCTCTACCCCAACATGAACTTGGAGCTCCAGGGATCAGTGACCTCTGCCCCGATCCTGAATTTCAGCCCTGGGAATCTGTCTGTGGAGCCCTATATGGAGATAGACGCCTTTGTACTCACGCCCAGCTCCAGCAAGGAGCTTGTCTTTCGGCTCAGTGTGGTAAGGTTCAGAGCCTTTGCAAATGCTGTTCCCTTTTCCTCACGTGCCTGATTCCTGGATAATTCCTCCAGTTTTCAACTTAAATTCTACTTCCCGAGAGAGGCCTTTCTGGCTGGCTCTTACTCCCAATCTACCTTACACCCCTTGCCACTTTTTTCTTAGCATTCCATTATCTTTTTTCTGAGTGTTTACTACAAAGGTACTTTGTAGCTGTCTGCAGGTGTATTTGTTTAACGCATGTATCTCTCACTACATGAGTCTGGGCTATTGTGGGGAGAAAGGTATACGGGTCTTTCTCGATTTGCTCTGTTCTTTGTCTATATTTGACTCTGGAAGACTACATTTCCCATGCTTCCTTGCACTCTGATTTCCACCCAGGTCAGCCAATGGGAGGTACTGTCAGGAGAATGGAGGAGGGGAGGAAAGATGAAGCCAGAGTATTTTTTCCTCTTTCTTTGCGGCAGGCAGAGGCTCAGGCTGTGACTGTGTCTCCTCCATGGTGACTTCCATCATTCCAACTCCACTCTTTGTTCCTCTAGTTCTGGGGTGGGTACAGCCTCCTGTCTCTGCTAATCTCCGGGTGGCCTCACCAATGCTTTACTAGCTTCTCAACAATTTCATCACTTGTATAACCAATTCCCTGCATTAAATTCCCTCTGCATTAAACATTGAGAGTGAGTTTTCCTTTTTCGACGGACTCTGTCTAATAGGGAAGAGATGCTGAGTCCTTGGGGGCCCTGCTCGCTGGATGAAGAACTCTGCTCTCTTGTTTCTTGACTTTTGAAATCAACAAGTCAAATCTGGCCAGGCTTGGTGGCTCACATCTGTAATCCCAGCACTTTGGGAGGCCGAGGAGGGTGGATCAATTGAACTCAGGAGTTCGAGACCAGCCTGGTCAACATGGTGAAACCCCGTCTCTACTAAAAATACAAAAAATTACCTGGGTATGGTGGTGCACGCCTGTAATTCTAGCTACTAGGGAGGCTGAGGTTGGATAATCGCTTGAATCCAGGAGGCAGAGGTTGCAGTGAGCTGAGAAGGCACCATTGCACTCCAGCCTGGGCAACAAGAGTAAAACTCCATCTCAAAAAAGAAAAATTAAAAATTTTTTTAAAAAAAAGTCAAATCTCTGACAGGGTAATTCTTCCTAGATGCTATATCTGCAATTTAATATTGTTATTGTTATCAAAAGTGTCTTTACTAATATATTTTGAATTAAAATATAATTTATCATCTGGGCGTGGTGGCTCACACCTGTAATCTCAGTACTTTGGGAGGTCCAGGCAGGAGAATCGCATGAGGCCAGGAGTTTGAGACCAGCCTGGGCAACATAGCAAGACTCCATTGCTACAAAAAAGAAAAAAAATAGCTGGGCATAGTGGCATGCACCTGTAGTCCTAGCTACTTAGGAGGGTGACATGGGAGGATCACTTGAGCCCAGGAGTTCAAGGCTGCAGCGAGCCATGATTGCACTCACTTTTAGAGAGATTCTAAAATAATAATGGTAATTTATTATTATTGTTGTTACTAGGGTTGAATCTTGACCTGAGATAACTAGAAATGATCCTTTTTAGAGCTTTCAGGGGTAGGTACTCTATACCTTCTCTTAGTAGTCTGTTCAACGTTTAACTGCTATCATGGACAATAATTTCAAATAAAAATGTTCAAGTCCAAGTTCAAATATTGATTGAGCACCTACAGTGAGCCTTCTGTAATCTAGTGGGAAAATTACCTGCTTTAGCTCACTGAGCTGTTTGTTGAGAGGAGACAGTTGGTCCGTCGTCATCACCCTTTCTACACATACAACCTCCATCACTTACACCTGTTTCCTTCTACCGGCATTTCCAGGCCACTAATGTGTCCACCATCTTGACCTTCAACACCAGCAAGATCACTGGGTTCCTGAAGCCAGGAAAGTAAGTTGGTCTCCTGCCCACAAGGGGGTGCCCAGCTGGGCTCCATCTGTATACTGTAGCTGCTTCTCTGTATCTGGTGGCAGGGCAATGAGGGGGACACCATTTGGAAAAGACACTTACATTTCACCCCAGTTGGCCCAATTCTTCTGCCCCACTGGTCCTGCCCCTACAAATTTCAAATCGTTAAAGAATTCACTAAGACTGTTACTTCTTAATCTATGAATTTTAGACGCCAGCTATATTAACTTACTGAAATGATAGAGTGAGCTTTTTGACACTACCCCATTGCCCTCTGACAGTCTTCCCGATATCATTGAATTACTGCTTTTAGTTACTCAGTCATCTTTTCCACTCCTGCTCCCACCCGGCCTTTGGCCCTGTGCCTTCTCAAGCCCATCCTTTCCCACTTCTGGGGACCCCCATATTGCTTAGACTTGCATTAAGCCCGCACCTCTGAATTTTCTCTAATTCATTATAGGGTAAAAGTGGAACTGAAAGAATCCAAAGCTGGAGTATTCAATGTAAGTTTTTGTTTTACTGATGACACGATTAGAATGTTAATTAATTTGGGGTGTTTCCTAAGCAATTGCTATGGCACCTATAATAGGAAATACAAAAGGAGACGAGTTGGTTTTTTCCCCTGGAGAAGTGTAGAAGGTCTTGAAAACACAAGACACAGGGCCAAAGAACAGTTATATCCTAATATAAAACAATATATAATTAAGTCATCTACTGGACAGAATTATTTTAACTACAAGAGACAAAAGCCAATAGAAATCATCTTACACAAAGAGGAGAAATATATAGGATTATATAACTGAAAAGTAAAAATAAACAACAAGAAAACGAAGACCAGAGGTTTTAGGCATAGCTGGATCCAGGTGTTCAAATTAGTGCATCAATACTCTCTCTCCATCTCTCTGTTCTGTTTTCATTTGTGTTCATTTCACTCTCAGGCACCTCTTCCAATTGGTAGCAAGCTCCAGAGTGTCCTACAGTTTCAGTTCCTTTAAAAAAAAATTAACAAAATTAAAAAAAAAAAAATCCCTGTGCTAGCTCTCATTGGACTAATCTTAGGCACCCAGTCTTAAGCCAAGCACTGTGGCCAGAATTTGAACAAGGCCAATTGGCTCAGTGTGGATCTCATCGACACTCCAAGAGGCAGGCTTTGCAGTCAGCTACATCCAAATCCTATGGACTAAGATTGGCGAGGAGGGTTGTTCCCTGGGGGCAAGTAGACTGTTACCAAAACAAGAGGAATTGAGTGCTGGGCAGGTAAAAGCAAGAAGTGATTTCCACAAGGTAGAAAAAGTGGTGAAGTAGATGGCCCCATATAAAAGGAGGAAAGCAACCAGGTGGCTCACACCTGTAATCCTAGCGCTTTGGGAGGCCAAAGTGAGCAGAACACAAGGTCAGGAGTTCAAGACCGAGACCAGCCTGGCCAACGTAGTGAAACCCCATCTCTACTAAAAATCCAAAAAAGTTAGCCAGGCGTGGTGGCGGGCACCTGTAATCCCAGCTACTTAGGAGGCTGAGCCAGGAGAATCACTTGAACCCAGGAGGCAGAAATTGCAGTGAGCCAAGATCACGCCACTGCATTCCAGCCTAGGCAACAAGAAGGAAATTCTGTCTCAAAAATGTTTTTAATTAAATAAAATAAAAGGAGGAAAGAGAATGTGAAGATCAGTGTGAGCTGAAGTGGTGGAGAAGAGCTTTCTGGAAAGAGGGAAGGAGGATCCGCGTAGACTTTAATGTGCACCTCCACCCGTGCCCTGCCTCCCAGACTTACAACACAGAAGCTGTGGGGAGAGACACAGGGACACTGAGGATGACTCCTTTCAGAAAATAAAGGGTGGCGTGAACAATGGTGCATTCGTATTGTATCTGTGCATGGTTACTGCAAAGTAAAACATGCAAGTAAAAAGTTTCACCGAAATCCATCCTATCGGGTTTTCGGAACGTGAAATGTAAAAACAAGAACTATAGACTCAGATAAATTTACATTCAAGTCCTGATGCTGCCACCCAGTTTCTTGTAAGTCCCTTTCATTCTGTGGGCCTCAGTTTCCTGATATGTGAAATGGGGACATTAATATGAACTTTGAGGGGTTGTGGTGAAGATTGAATCAGACATACACATAAAGCACTGAGTTCTCTGCCTGGCAGATAGTGGAGGTTAAAAGTTGTGTTTCATGATTTTGGTAGAAAAGCTTATCTTGTTTTTATTAAAAATTTTACAATTATACAAGTAGTTCAGGAAAAACATTCTCACTGTAAATAAAATTGAATACTAATGACAAGGCTAAGGACAAGTCAAATGTTGATGCTCTTTCTTTAGAGGAAAGACAGTTGGGTGTGTAACTTTCTAAACTTTTTCTATTTACTTGCATACTAAATGTTCATCTCTAAATAATTTTCTCTTATGAAATAGTAGCACGAGGTATTAATAGTTCGCTTTTCCAAGCGTTTTGCTATGTTGGCACACACAGAGCCACCCCACCTCCAGGGTGGCTTCGTGGCGATGTGCAGTGTGCCTCTCCTGCTCTCCCCCAGGCAGAGCTCTTGGAAGCGCTCCTCAACTACTACATCCTCAACAACCTCTACCCCAAGTTCAACGGTAAGAATCACTGTGGATTTTGCCAAGTCAAAAGCAGACATTGGAGGAAAGAGAGTTGGACTTGGAAAACAGGGCTCTCCTGGGGGCTATGTGACCGTGGGCAAGTCACTTCTCTCTGAGCTTAGCAGCCTGCCTGTGACATGGAATCACGGAAGTTGGCCTCCGCTCCCTCCAGGGCTCTAATGAGGGTTGGGGGCTGGGACAGCTCTTTGGGGCATGGGAAACCTCCTTATAAGTGGGAAAGAGGGACACATGGAAATACCCCATATCCTGAAGAGGCAGCTGAAAGACTGAGGACCAAGTTAATATAGAAGGCACAAGGCAGCCGCCTCTGATCTCACATCTCCCAGTCAATTGCCCAACTGCCTAGTCAAAAGACTTCAACCCTGTTTCCATGAAGCTTTGCTTCTTTTGGCTGCCACAGAGAGCAGGACAGGGCAAAGGACAGGGAGTGAATGCCCTGTTCCTTAACTTATCATGAATGTGTGCTTTCTCCAGACAGCACTATGCCTGGCAGCTCAGGCTCCCAAGTCAGCCTCCCTGGGTTCAAATCCCAGTTCTGCCACTTCCTAACTGTGTGACCTAGAACAAGTTACTTGGCCACTCTGTGCCTCAGTTTCCTTATCTATAAAATGGAAAGAATAAGCACACATACCTCATAGTCTTGGTAATCGCTAAATGGGAATATACTGAATATAGTTTGCAGAGAACAACATTTTCGGTAAAAATCTGTCTCTAATCATTACGTATTCACCAATCTCTCTCAATGTTGTGCTTCAACCTCCAGATAAGTTGGCCGAAGGCTTCCTCCTCCCTCTGCTGAAGCAGGTTCAGCTCTACGACCTTGGGCTCCAGATCCATAAGGTCAGCGGGTTCAGGGGGCTCTGAGGCTATGTCAGGGGGCAGGTGGTTCACATGCTAGCTTCATAGGCTATGAGTCATGGGTGACACCCAGCCCAGCCCTGCAGCTGAGAAAGTCTGGCCGGGGCAGAACCAGTGCTCCTGGGCCTTGCCATATACCACAAAGCAGACCATATGCCCTTCAGAAGTGGCCCCTCTGCCACTGCAGGCGGCATTTGACACAGCCCTGAGCCACCACCACCTCTCACCCCCACCATGAGGGGCGTGAGGGAAGCTCAAGACCAGCTCATTTTGAAAATACTGCAGCTTGGGAGCAGTGGCTCACGCCTGTAATCCCAGCACTTTGGGAGGCTGAGGAGGCGGGTCACCTGAGGTCAGGAGTTCAAGACCAGCCTGGCCAAACATGGTGAAACCTGTCTCTACTAAAACTGCAAAAATTAGGTGTGGTGGTGGGCAACTATAATCCCAGCTACTTGGGAGGCTGAAACAGGAGAATTGCTTAAATCTGGGAGGTGGAGGTTGCAGTGAGCTGAGATGGCACGACTGCACTCCAGCCTGGGCAACAGAGCAAGACTCCATCAAAAAGAAAATACCGTAAGTCCTAGACATAGCATTAGGTCAGGTTCTGAAAGCCATTTGTAAGTTTTAAGTTTTTCTTCTAAATTTTTAGGTTGAAGACGTTATTATAAATATATGTTTGGCATGCTTCCCCATTTAAACAAGTACTACTACCATATATATATATATATATATATATATATATATATTTTAAGACAGAGTCTCGCTCTGTCACCCAGGCTGGAGTGCAGTGGCACAATCTTGGCTCACTGCAACCTCTGCCTCTCGGGTTCAAGAGATTCTTGTGCTTGAGCCTCTGGGTTAGCTGGAACTACAGGCTCCTGCCACCACTCCCAACTATTTTTTTTTTTTTTGTATGTATTTTTGGTAGAGATGAGGCTTCACAATGCTGGCCAAGCTGGTCTCAAACTCCTGGCTTCAAGTGATCCGATTGCCTCGGCCTCCCAAAGTGCTGGGATTACAGGCATGAGCCACCGTGTCCAGCCAACACTATATACACTTTAAAAAATTATTCATAGGCCAGGCACAGTGGTTCACGTCTGTAATCCCAGAACTTTGGGAGGCCAAGGCGGGTGGATCATAAGGTCAGGAGTTCAAGACCAGCCTGGCCAAGATGGTAAAACCCCATCTCTACTAAAAATACAAAAAATTAGCTGGGTGTGGTGGTGTACGCCTGCAGTCCCAGCTACTCAGGAGGCTGAGGCAGGAGAATTGCTTGAACCCGGGACGTGGAGGTTGCAGTGAGCCGAGGTAGTGCCACTGCACTCCAGCCTGGCGCCTGGTGACAGAGTGAAACTCTGTCTCAGAAAAAAAAAAAAAAAGCCAGGTACGGTGGCAGGTGCCTGTAATCCCAGTTACTCAGGAGGCTGAGGCAAGAGAATTGCTCAAACCTGGGCAGCAGAGATTGCAGTGAGCCGAGATCACGCCACTGCACTCAAGCCTGGGCAGCCGAGTGAGACTTCGTCTCCAAAAAATAAAAGAAAAAGTTATTTGTAAACCTATCGCTCCGCTACAACCACAGTTCGAATTCTGGTGTGCTTCTAGTGCTTTTTTTTTTTTTCAGGATTTTAAGTTTGTTTGTTTTGCCCAGTTGCATTACTAGCGCTCATAAATGGTTTTTTCTTTCCCTTTTTTTTAAACTTAAAAACTTTTTTAACTTAAGGTTCTTTTTTAAGCTTAACTTAAAAACTATTTTAATATCAAGAAATATGTCTGATTTTTCACTGCTCAAACTATTATTCCGACCAAGCGTTTTGTGATCTATCTGTGCTCCCAGTTTTCAGGTTATCTTTTGAGGTGAAATGTACTGGGTTGGCAGACTCGTTAGCAGGAAGGGCATGCTTCGCTGTGGCTGGTACATCGTTAACATCAGAAAATAATAGGCATTAAAGGGAATGAAGGACGGGGCGGGGGGGGTGACTAGGAACCTAGAAACGTCACTGGGCTTTTGTGATGATTAAAGGGCAAGTGCAATCGCTTCTAGCTCAATGTCTGACACGTGAAAAGTAATTAGATTTGTTATATATTATCATATTCATTAGAATTTTGAGGTCAACTCTGCCCAGGTGTCAAACCACCAAAAACAAAGGATGGATCACTGTGGGAAAGAACTGCACTTGGTCTTTGGTTCAGAATTCCTGCCCCTCTGGGTGACAGAAGCATAAGAAGAGCAGGAGAGTATACCCTAGCAGTTCGCAATTTTTCGTTATTTGCTAAGAAGAGAAAATTTAGGTGACACAAAGGACACTGAGAGGCCTGTCAGGCAGCAGCAGCTCGGGGAATGACAGATCAATCCCTGCCTTAGAGAAGGCAGTCGGGAAAAGCTGTGCTTTATGGAGACCTTGAGGACCGAGGCATACCCGCAATTTATGCACTGACCTGGATTCTGGCAGAGCTTGTGTTTCCCAAGACGTGGGTTCCCTTTCAATCGCAGATGCATCTTTTCGGAATAGAGAATGCCCTTCACCATCCTGTCCTGTCCTGTTTTTCCTAGAACTTCCTGTTCTTGGGTGCCAACGTCCATTACATGAGAGATTGAGGACAAGAAAGATGAAGCTTGGAGGCTACAGCTGGGTCTGCATGTTGCATTTCCAGCTGTGCGGCACATCTCGGAGATTCTTGGAAAAGGACGACATTTCTGTTCTCAGCTCTGGGGGTGAGGTCCGCCTGGCCTCCGCCTCCACCCTCCCGCTCTTCACCAGATGCATGCGTGCCCTCTCTGAGTCTGGACTTTGCTTTCCCCTCCAGGAGGGACCACCCTCCCCACTGACCTGGGATATCTTTACAAGCAGGCACTGTATTTTTTATTTGCAATCTGATCTCCATGCCTAGCAGAGTGCTGGCACTTAGTAGGTCCTCAATAAATATTTATTAAATGATGAGATGAAGGAATCACCTGGTATTCTAGCTGAACCTCATCACTGCCCGCCCTCTTCTGGCCTCAGGGGTCTTTGGATACTCAGCCCCATCTGTGGTCTCCAAGGCCCCTTTCTCGTCGCTGCTGCTATAGGAGCCTCAATGAGAGAAGTAGGGATTCTGTATGTCACTTAGCCCTGGACCTGGTGCTGATGCTCCGTCCCTAAGGCCCTTGTCCTGTCTCAGGCAGGGGCTCACTTCAGCATCTCTCCCTCCCTCATTTCTTGCCTGCCAGGGGAGCCAGTGATCTCCGGGAGCAAAAACTCAGCCTCCCACTGCTTTCCCCCATTGAAGCAGGTGTAAATTAGGAGGAAATGGATCTGTCTAGGTTTTTGGTCCAACCCCAATAAAAAGCTCATCCAACTGTTGTTTATGAGTCCCAAGCCTGGAGGGAGAGGCCATGATTTCTAATTACTGAACAATGAGACTTTGATCAGACTTAATAAAGAGTTGTTTCCAAGTTATGTAGTTGGGCTCCCAGGGACTGGGAGTCAGAAGACTCCTTTGATGTATTTTTTTTTTAATCGTGTTAATGAGCAGATGGATGGCGCTTCAGGCTAGCAGTTAATTCACAGGGAATAGTCCCATTTACCCTGTGTGTGACAGAGATGTGTTCCAAGATGGGACGATGTGTGTCACCCAGCTGGTGGAAGGGGAAGCTATGGCCCCACCTCCTCTCTCCTCTCTGCTTTTGTTCATTTGTTTGCCACCTTTGTCCATCCCTACGGCAGACTGGCAAAGGGCTCAGACTTCATCCGGTACTAGCTTGGGCAGATCACTTTCCCCTGGGGTCCTCATCTACGAAATGATGATTGTAGTAGTCACTTCCTGGGGCTGCAGTGAACACTGATATACAAGCATCTGTTTGAGTCCCTGCTTTCAATTCTTTAGGATTTATACCTAGGAATGGAACTGCTGGGTCACATGATAATTTTAGGTTTACGGTTTAGCCTTTTTTTGTTTCCAAGACAGAGTTTTGCTCTTGTTGCCCACGCTGGATGGAGTACAATGGCCTGATCTCAGCTCACTGCAACCTCCGCCTTCCAGGTTCAAGTGATTCTCCAGCTTCAGCCTCCCGAGTAGCTGGAATTACAGGCATCCTCCACCACACCCATGTAATTTTTGTATTTTTAGTAAAGACCGAGTTTTACCATGTTGACCAGGCTGGTCTTGAACTCCTGACCTCAGGTGATCCACCCTCTTTGGCCTCCCAAAGTGCTGGGATTACAGGCGTGAGCCACCTTGTCCCACCTGCATTTCTTCTTTTTAAGGATCCCAAGAGGTAGCTTAGAAGAAAAGACATTAGCATGCCAGGATCGTCCATATTGTGCTGTAAGTGACAACAGCATGGAGAAATCCCGGCAATGTAGGTAACAAGGTCAGGGGCAGCCACAGGTCTGAGCAGGTGGAAAGATGAGAGTTGCAAGGTATAGTATCAAGGGGTTAGGCAAACAATACCATCAATAAGTCTTCGTGTGTGGGAAGGGCAGGAGAAGAAAACGAAACAAACCAACACTAAGTATAGCACTGGGCCCCAGCCATCAGACAGTCAGGCAGGGGCTAGCACAGCCAATGCACTTCGCTTTTTTCACTGGAAAAGTCCAAAAGACATTTCCCTGTTAGTACACAGAGATCTTCTGCATTTGATTTTTAGGATTTAACACAGCTATGTAATATTCCACATTTGTGTATGTACAAAAGATTAAAGATTTGTCATTCATGCATTTAAAGATGCATAGCATCTCCTGGTGAGATATACAATTTATTTAACCAATCCCTACTTACGAGTCTTCAGGTTGTTTTAAAACTTCTGCTTTTATAAATAATGTGTCAATGAATAGCTATATTCATATGCCAATTCATATATGTGCAGGTACATTTTAGGATAAATGCCCAGAAATCAAATCCAGTAACTGACTCTTCAGTTAATTTGGCAAACTGGCATTTGCTCACTTTCTCCTCTTTCCAGACTTTCCCCTTCTCCTGAGGTGGTGCCTAGGCATACAGGGATGTTAAGGGGTCCACATGGCATCGTGGCAGTGGAGTGAAGCAGGGCATAGTAAAGAATTTAACCTTGCTCATAGAGAGACCTGGCTTTTGTCCACGGCCCCGGAAGGTCATCTCTAAGTCCTTGGAATGCTTGCCTGGTAAGAGTGTCTTTGTTTATCTGGGACTTTGGTCCATGAGAGATAGTCTAACGTGGGAAGCCATGGTAGGGCTTTTGGTCATATCAAATCAGCTTAACCTCTGAAGATGCTGAAGACCGAGCCCAGCCACATGGACAGCCAAACTAGGATGGCATGATCAAGCCCCAGAAAGACTCTGGGGATTTCCAGATGATTCTCAGGGGAAATGCCTGAGTTCAAAGAACAATTAGCCTGGAAGGAAGTTCCTATGAGTGCTGTGGGAGATGGTGGGAAGGTGAGGGACAGAACTTCACGATGAACAAAGGTTGTCTTATTATGCAGATGAAGTCCCCCAGCTAATCTCTGAGCTGCACCCAAAGCATAGGTGGAGAAGTTTGGGCATGGTGATTACTCCAAGTCTTTCGTCTGCTTAATATTTCCTAGCTATTTGATGAGATTAGGAAGGGGGTCTTAAGATAACTGCATTTATTTTGGAAAGAAGGTTCGGTTGCGTGCCCCCAGTTGGCAATACTTCATGCGTATTGTCACACATCAATGCTAGAAAAATGATGCTGTCCACAACTCCAGGGTGAGAGGGCAGCTGGAAGCTCTGTGTTGGAATTTTCTTGGACTCTGCCCTGTGTTACTCTTCCCTTGGCTGAATTTTTTTTTTTTTTTTTTTTTTTTTTTTTTTTTTTTGAGAGAGTTTCATTCTTGTTGCCCAAGCTGGAGTGCAATGGCTCGATCTTGGCTCACCACAACTTTTGCCTTCCAGGTTCAAATGATTCTCCTGCCTCGGCCCCCCGAGTAGCTGGGATTAAGAGCATGGCATCACCACGTCCAGCTAATTTTGTATTTTTAGTAGAGATGGGGGTTTCTCCATGTTGGTCAGGCTGGTCTCAAACTCCCAACCTCAGGTGATCCACCCGCCTCAGGCTCCCAAAGTGTTGGGATTACAGGCTTGGGCCACTGCACCCGGCCCCTTGGCTGATTTTAATTTGTGTCTTTTTGCCGTAATAAAATGAAATCATGAGTATAACAGCTTTAAGTGAGTTCTGTGAATCTTTCTGGCAATTTTTCAAACTTAAGGGTGGTCTTGCCCTCTCCTGAACTTGCAATTGCCGTCAGAAGTGCGAGTGGCCTTGTGGACAGTGCTGCCTCTAACTTCACACAGGGAGTCTTCTCCTCCCCAGTTCCCTCACTCACCGGCCAGAGATGCTGCCTGAGCGTGAGGCCATTGACACAGAGGCCTGTTCACTGAAGGTCCCTCACCTCCTGCCCCCAGCTGCTTCATTCTCAAATCTGCTCTTGGTGCTACAGACCCTGATTGATCAGCCTTCCTACTTGCAAACTTTAGCATCCACTCTGGTTAGTATAGGCAGAAAGGGGGGTTGTTAAAAGACTTAGATTGTTCACAAATGGTTGGGAGGATAAACAGAGTTGAGGCTGAGCTTCCAAACTGGTCACGGGGTAATCAGATGCAGACCACACCAGGACATATCTCACTTTCTCATTAACCCCACTGATTTTTAAGGTATTCTATCATACACCAGGATCAACATATACTTATAAGGTCCCCTTGTCTTAACTATCTGAGACTGCAACACTCAGTTAATGTTCAACTATCTGTTTGTGAAATACCTCTTAGCCCAGTGCTTCTCAAACTTTAATGTGCCTATGAATCCCCTGAGCATCTTATTAAAATGCAGATTCTGATGCAGCAGGTCTGGGGAGGAGCTGAGAATCTAACCATCTCCCAGGGCATTCCAATGCTGCTGGTCCTCGAGCAGCAAGATCAAGTAAACTCTGTGGTAATAAGAATTTTCTCACTGCCATGTAACCCCCTAGAACAGCACCTGGCACATTGTAGGTGCACAGTTAAACACTTGTCACACATGAATGGATTTAGCCCATAGATCACACGTGGCCCAGCTTCCCCCTCCATCTAGCACTATGTGAATTGTTGGTCCTCAGAATCTCCAGTAATCAGGAGCCCAGAAGAGAAAACTGGAAATTTCTCAAAAGCCAAGTCATGACAAAATGATTCAATCACTGACATAGTTTGGCTATATCCCCACCCAAATCTCATTTTGAATTGTAGTTCCCATAATCCCCACGTATTGTAGGTGAGACCCAGTTGGAAGTAATTAAATCATGGGGGTGGTTACCCTCATGCTGTTCTTGCAACAGTGAGTCAGTTCTCATGAGATTTGATGGGATTTTTTTGTCTGTTTTTTTGAGATGGAGTCTTGCTCTGTTGTCCAGGCTGGAATGCAGTGGTGCAGTCTTGGCTCACTGCAACCTGGGCCTCCCAGGCTTCAAGCAGTTCTCCTGCCTCAGCCTCCAGGGTAGCTGGGATTACAGACATCTACCACCACGGCCAGCTATTTGTATTTTTAGTAGAGATGGGGTTTCACCATGTCAGTCAGGCTGCTCTTGATCTCCCGACCTCAAGTGATCCACCTGCCTCAGCCTCCCAAAGTGCTGGGATTATAAGCATGAGCCACCACACCCGGCTGAGATTTGACAGTTTCATAAGGGGCTTTTGCCGCTGTGCTCAGCACTTCTCCTAACTGCCACCCTGTGAAGAAGGTAACTTTCTTCCCCTTCTCCTTCTGTGATGATTGTAAGCTTCCTGAAGCCTTCCCAGCCATGCCAAACTGTGAGTCAATTAAACCTATTTCATTTATAAATGACCCAGGCTTGGGTGTGTCTTCATAGCACTGTGAAAACAGACTAATACAGTCACCTTGCTGAGGTCAAGTGGCCAATTTTTGCAATATTGCTAGATCATGTGAGGTCTCAATGAAAAACCCCCTTGCAGGGAGAAGGCGCAAATTTCCCATATAGAAAAATTCTGAGTAATGTATGTAAATACTGCCCCGCAAGAAATGGGGAGCACAACTTTCTACCCCTTATGTATGGGCTTTGCTTCCAAAGAAAAGAGTATGGAAGAGTGGTGGGGGAGTAGACTTATCGAGAAACCTGACAAACACTCCATTAGCCAGCTGATCAAGGTTAAAATCCTCAGAGACAAGTCATGTTGATAGTAGGCATCTCAGTTCAGGCTGCTATAACAAATTACCACAGACGGAGGGACTTAAACCACAAACCTTTGTTCTCACAGTTCCAGAGGCTGGAAGTCTGGGACTGGGATGCCAGCATGGCCAGCGAGGGCTCTCCTCTGCGTAGCAGGCTGCTGACTTCCCACTGTCTCCTCACATGGGGGAGAGCAAAGAGAGGGAAGCAAACTCTCTCAGGTCTTGTCTTCTCATGGCACTGTTTCATCCAGGTTAACCTAAAGTTGCCTTACATTATTTTGAAGCTCAACCTAAAGA